CAAATTCACATAGGCACTTTATGCCATTCCCTCGTCTTTGTCCCCGCACATTGTCATCATTTTAGGACAATACTTTTTTTCGTGCACTGAATATAACGATCATCTCAAGATCACCATCTCGGTCCTTATTGACACAACCAGGGACATCCTGGCAATGGCAACCCCACCCACATACACAAAGTACAGCGTTATTCATTTATCTATATACATCCATCATGTGTCTATTTTGTATCTCTGTCATTCAACGTTGCAAGCCACGAATCGCTTAAAGTAATCAAATTTATCGCTCATCCTTGGGTCTGCAACAGCTCGAAGCGCATGCGCACTCTTCCAATATGGCGGCACAATTACCGTTTGGTTGCCTTACAGTAATGAAGAAGAGGCTCGACGACGAACTGATGAAATTCATGACTACTTTGAAGATGTGGAGCAGATTGAGGATGATGGGGTGTGAACTGCCATTTTCTTGTTCCGCTGCCGCCATGTTGGCTTAAAAAGGAAGCGACCTCAGTCAGCGATTGGTACGATTGCAAGCGGCGATTGGGCCCATTGTCACAAATAATTGATGATGACGTCATCAATTGTTAATGACGTCATGACGATCTTATGTAACTAGTTCCAGCAATAGTGTAACTCAACTAATGTCTCCAAACATTTTCGTGGGCTATTCTCTAAATAATGTCTAAATCGTAGTGAATGACTTCGGGCTACTCCCCGTTTTGAGTGTGTTGTGTTTATTGCTAATTTTGTTGGCAGTTCGAGTTGATATCGTTTTGAATTGAAAGACCTTCAACTATCACGGCGTGTGAGCTTAAGGTCGGGGAAATGTTAGTTTCGAACGTGTGATGAGTGTGGTAGACACTTACTTACATTCCTTCTCGTAAGAGGCGACCAACGGGGCCGGACGGTCAGGCTCGCTGACTTTGTTGATGCATGTCCACGTATCCCAATTGCGTGGATCGATGCACATGATGTCAATCACTGGAGAGTCTGGTCCGGACTCGATTATTTACAGACAGCCGTCATATAGCTGGAATAATGCTGAGTGCTGTGTTAAACATCAAACAAACAAACAAACACAAACAAACAATTCTCTTAATTACAGACTGTCGAGGTTTTTTTTATTGTTCGACTTTACATTCCATAATGCCTGGGTGGTCTATTGGTAGAGCATCTTCCCGGAGAGCGGAATGTCGGTGGTTCGATCCAAGGCCGCGTCATACCAAAAAACTTCAAAAGATGGTACTTGTTGTTAAGGGGCAAAAACAAGGACTGGTCGGCTCGGCGTCAGGGGACTCTGTCTGAGTGGAGTATTTATATTAAACGGCGGCATGGTATCTCAGTGGGCTAGCACTATAAAACCGACTTAAGTCCGAAATAGTACAAGCAGCCACACACACACCTGCATGAACGTCGTTATATAAGTGCAATAATCTTAAACGTGACGTGAACCACATTTCACATCACCTCTCGTTTACATTCCTACCTGATGAAGCGCCCTACAATCCTAACTGATATACCGTTAAATCAGTTGTTTTTCAATATCTGTATGAAATACGTTTTCACAAGTTTTTCTTTGGTTTTATTTTGACAATCAACATCAAGGTTTTGAGAGACACAAATCTGTAAACCACTTATAAAGGAAGCCTTTTAAGGTAAACTTGTGTCCACTCAAACCTAACATCAAGATAAGTGTCACGCAGCAATGCCTGATCATTGTGGCCTGAAACGGTATGATAGGTTGTGATAAAGTCAACATTAACTGGATGAACTAAATGTCTAGCATAGGCACATAGACATACATAGTCATACAGCAGCTTCATGAAGTCCCAGGCCCGTGAAGATCCGGGGCGAATTGATCTTCAGCAACCCAGCTTGTCATAAAAGTCGACTAACGGGATCGTGTGGTCAGGGTGCTGACTTGATTGATGCATGTCATTGTATCAGGATTGCGGACATCAATGCTCATGATGTCAATCACTGGATTGTCTGGTCCAGACTCGATTATTTACAGATCGACGTCATATATCTGGAATATGTGCTGAGTGCGGCGTTAAACAAACAAACAAAACAGTTAAGTCCTTGGCTATTTCAAAATTGTGCTTTTCTTGAAAACAGGCCTCTTCTCCGTAGCGTCGGTTACTGATACAAGAAGATCCTAACAACCGGACAATGTAGATAGGAGATTACTGCGGAGTGTAAGCGTACTTTTGGACTTTGTGAAGGCATTTTTGATTAGTTATTTGGCTGAGAATGAATTGGATGTGTTAAATCCTATCTCGGGGCTTCTCTAATACCCCCCACAATCCTAAATTCCTATCCAGGTGCTAAACAGGGAAACATGCCTTGTAGTGTTTCGCCAGGCAGTGATAAAGCTTACAACGACTTTAATATTCTTCTCAATCTCCGCTATATAGGACTGTTGACATATTCACCAAACTAGAGCGCAGGTACCTCTGTTGATCGTTTCAGTGTCTACGTCCACAGTTTTCGTAAAGTTTGCTTCAGATTATCAATATTAAGTTAAGGATAGTTGACATATATTCACTGGAGTTTCAATTTACTCTGCTTAACGTCACAGTGAGTGGGTGAGTGAGTTTGGGTTAAAGGCCGCTTTGAACAATATTCCAGTTACATCACAGCGTGTCAGCTTGTGAGAAGAAAGCCCTAAGTAATGCAGGTTCCAGACGTTTACCACTTTGATGAAACCCACGAGAACGGGTATGGTGCTGATAAATCTAGGAAAATAATCGGAGCCAACCGGATTCGAACCCACAATCATTGGTTTCCGGGGTGTCTAAGGGACGCAACTCTGCACAGTGAAATGCGGCGCCTTAGAGTGGTGCACACGCGGCCCCGAACCTCTCAGTTCCTTCTTTAAGGAAAGATCGCGCAATAGTATCGAGTAAACACATAATACACTGATCTTAATAAGCATGCATGTGTTCTGTGTAACACCTTTATCGTGTAACACCTTTGTTTCAAGTTAGAGGCCACAGGCCCAGAGAACATAACATTACAGGAATACAATTACTGATAAAGATACTTATACAATTTCATTGCATTCAATATGAATTTCGATAGTTGTACAATAGTAGGTTTATGATTAGATGACATCAGACGAACAAAGAATTCCAGTGACGGATTTACACTGTATTTAGGATCAGTGTATCGATATCTTAAATCATTAAAAGCAGGGCATACAAGTGCAGAATGATATTCATTTCCCAATAGACTAATATTTCATTGTGTCAAATCTGCGGTAAGGGCGGCGTTGGTATGACAATATATCATAGGGAAAGCATATTGAACGATAGAAATAGTTAATATGTAAAGCTCAGGAATACCGTCTGTAATATGGTGTTTCAAGTTTATATTGGTGATACTTCCATGTGCGTTGTTTCCTCGTTAATTATTAACGTGCCAAAACCGTTTCCATAATCAAAAGAAAACGGAAAGTTGATTGCATTGGCTAATGCCAAACGGATCGGACATAAGTGAACGCCCCCTTACTTACAAATATACATGTGGTTACAAGGTAAGATCTGTTTCAATATTGAAGTTGTACTGACAAAGGGTTGTTATATACAAGACAGGTAAAATATATATACACCGCCTTATTGCTATGGCATAAACCTTACAGATATCCTTTCGTATGTACAGGAAATATAAAATTTATTCATTCATTTATCCAGAAATATTGTCTGCATTTATTTTCTAATTTATTCGCGTCCATTTTGTCTAAAGATCCTTCTGTTGTGGGTTGCGGGGTAATTTGTTGTAAGTCCTTGTATTGCAGTAAATGCGAATGTTCATGAACGTGTGGATGTCGCCTACATGCTAAAGCAAGAGGTGCTGGCGTTTGGGGCTTCAGAGACATCTTGTTTTCATTTCATGACGCCCATGCTAAAGTGTTTTTTGTATATTTCAAAATAAATACATTATAAATATAATCTTTAAAACAAGACTGTTGATGCATAGTTTGATTTTAAACTTCTATGTCATATTTGCTCGTACGTTTACATTGTCCAGCATACATCGATAACCTGAATTTTCTAAAAAACAACACTCTAACCACATATATATAGTGTTCTGTATACTGACTTTATACTTCATAGCGCTTCTTAAATATCGGCGACAACCATGTCTGTGGAACATCCGTTTTCATATGTTCAAGATGAGTTATATTTGGAAGATATGCAACCATTTCCAAAAAACACTTATTTAACGTTATTCAAAGGATGTTCAAATATCTGACTACATGTAATGCAATGAAAGGAGGCGGAGTGAGTGAGTGAATATGATTTCACGCTGCTTTTAGCAATATTTCAGCAATATCACCGAAGGAGACACCAGAAATGGTCTTCACATATTGCACCCATATGGGGAATCGAACCCGGGTCTTCAGCGTGACGAGCGAACGCTTTAACCTCCAGGCGACCCCACCTCCCGTGATGGCAAAGGCGTATGTATATTCCTATCATATATATCTTCCAGCTCAACACATATCATAGACAATAAACAAACAATCATTGTTTTTACATTCTGACATATATTTGATTGGGTTATACAATAATTGTTATTACTACTTGAAAATATGAGAAGATAGGACAAAAACAATTATTTAAAACAAAACAAAAATACAACAAACATATGAAAACTATTGAGATGAATAGAATGCAATCTATACGTGTATAAAGTCACTTGTATGTCTAGTGACACTCTTCAATTGAAAGGTATCATTTATGACCAGTCAAATGTCAGCTGTTCTATATGACCTCATAAATCTGAATGGTGCAACAATTGGCTCTGCAGAGTTCCGTTGCTTAGGCGTGACAGACAATTACGATCGTGGGTTCGAATCCCGGTTCAGCCCGATTATGTTTCTAGGTTTGTCAGCTCCGTGCCCGTGGGTTTCACCAAAGTGGTAATCGTATGAAACCTGCATCACTTCGGGGTTTCCTTTCGCATTAGGCTGACACGCCGTGATGCAACTGGAATACTGTTCAAAACGGTGTGACACCAAACTCAATCATTCACTCTAGATCACAAAGCAGCATTAAGCTCACTCACTCACTCTACCACGCATCGTTTAACATAATTGTTCGTCATGTCCACGATGTCGTCACCGTGACGTGACTGCCAGGTCATGCTGATCTATTCAGGCGCTTCATACTATCAAGTTGAATATGCAGTTTCCTAAAAGAATGTTGCATCTTTGGTTGGCATATGAACCTCATTCTTCCCAATGTAGATGCCTTCTTTGGTTTTATCAATGGTGTAGACGTCTTTCGATCTGAAAAATCGATGCATCAAAATTTTAACAAATCATATCTTAAATACAAATAAAGAAGATAAAGATGTATTTATGTGCCATTGGGAATAATGTGAATAGTTGGTGACACATTGTTCTCAGAGATTACTTTATGGTCGTTTGTTCATCATTAGCCTCACCTATCCAGTGTAGTACTATTCCATTCTATTATGACACATCACACCACTCATCTTCCCGAGGCAAGGGTTGGTTGGTTGGTTTGTTGTTTAACGCCGCACTCAGCAATATTCCAGCTATACGGGAGTTAACTGACTATAAAAGTGCAGTTTACACCCTTGCCGAACCTGGCTGGAAACATTGAGTTATGTTTTGGCCGGTCCAATCAAAATCGTGTAACGAAATCGAAATCCGGTTCGTAAACTACCGTACAGATTTCGGTCGATTGCAGGATGTGCAAAGCATGTGCACCGATAACAGATATTTTCCAAACCCTTTCATGTTTTTAATCAAGGTGCTCGCGAAATAAGACCCGTTTTTTTTTTACAATATAGATCTTTATTATCGATCAGATCGTTTGCATTGAGCGCAGCCATTTTATTTGACGCAAATACAAATGATGTGAGAGCTGGAATCTGATTGGTCATGAGGAGGAACATAGAAGGGACATTACTCGTAATAGACACTGGTAGCGCTACTATCAAGCCCATTAAGTCCAGCCTAGTTCGGCAAGGGAGGAAACTGTATTTTTACAGTCAGTTAACTCCCTTGCCTCGGGAAGACGCCAGTACTCGACTCGCATTGTTGCCTACCGTCTCAAATACAACTTGGAACGTTTGATGATATAAATACCTGCCTCTACCTATCTTCACGTACAGGAACAATCATTTCCAACTGAAACTTCATATATAGCAGTCTTCTGATTCGACTTAATATACCGAGGCTGCAATTTTGAGCGTAGCTCACATTTTGATTGGTTGCACAGGTCAGGCTATGAGGGAGAGTCATTCCGTAAGTGATATGCCAGGCAGAGGTAGTGATGCCACTTCCAGAAAAAGCTTTCCACGAATGGGTCTAGGGTATTTATCATAGAATGGAGATACAATCCACTGCATATAATGGAGGATGAGCAATATAAAAAACACCCAGCTAAGTGGATGAGATACGGCATTGGATTTTCACCTACAACAACAATCTCTGGTGCAAATTGAGGTTATTTCCTTGTGGCTATTCAAATCTTGTTTAGTTCCCTTCTGTGACAAGTCTTTCTTGCCCAAACCGGTAAAAACGTACAAGCGGTACCAAGCAGATGTTTAATAAATCTTTATTTATTCCAGAACTCACGTAAGTACTGCAACCTGAAGTCATTCCGAAGCAGATATTAAACCACACGGGGGACACGCGATTCGCTGTGCAGAATTGCCTCCCTTGGTCACGCCAGAAACCTATGATTTTAGGTTCGAATCCCGGTTCGCCCCGATTATGTTTCTAGGTGTGTCAGCACCATACCCATGCTCGTGGGTTTCACCAAAGTGGTAAACGTCTGAGACCTGCATCACTTCGGGCTTTCCTCCCACATCAAGCTGACACACCGTGATATGACTTGAATACTGTTAAAGGAGGCGTTAAATCCAACTCACTCACTCACTCATTAAACTACAAGTCATAAACAGCTGGTTTCGTTTGCCAAAACGATTTATTTCCGTTTTGCATAATATACCCAGATGATATATTACGACCAGAGTTTGTAATTGATAATATCTTGTATCACTTTGCACAATTATATGTGTAAGGGCATGGATTATAAGAGTTGTGAAGGAAGTTTTGGATCTTAACACCTTGTTATGTTGGTTATCAACGACAGAGACCTTCAAAGTACAAACCTTCCAGTAGTTGAATTTAGCCCGTAATGGAGAGTGTTATCGATTGGAAACAATCCTATAAACTTAGTCACCTAGCAGGAACTCCTTCCATGCCCCATACATCGACTTAATGAATTTATTCTCAATAAGCTGTTTACTAACATTCCCTATGTGCTTAATGTGTCACTGTGTTTCTGGAGACAAACATATGTGTCACCGTGTTTCTGGAAACAAACATATGTGTCACCGTGTTTCTGCAAATATATATGTCAGAGTGTTTCTTCAGACAAACATACGTATCACCATGTTTCTGTAAACAAACATATGTATCACCGTGTTTCTGCAGACAAACATATGTGTCAAAGTATCTGCAGACAAACATGTGTTCCACCGTGTTTCTAAAGAAAAACATATTTGTCACCCTATTTCTGAAGACAAACATATGTTTCACCATGTTCCTGCAAACATGTGTCACCGTGTTTCTGCAGACAAACATATGTGTCACTGTATTTTGCAGACAAACATATGTGTCACCGTGTTCCTGCTGACAATCATATGTGTCGCCATGTTTCTGCAGACAAACATATGTGTCACCGTGTTTCTGCAGACAAACATATGTGTCAAAGTATCTGCAGACAAACATGTGTTTCACCGTGTTTCTAAAGAAAAACGTATTTGTCACCCTATTTCTGAAGACAAACATAATTATGTTTCACCATGTTCCTGCAAACATGTGTCACCGTGTTTCTGCAGTCAAATATATGTGTCACCGTATTTTGCAGACAAACATATGTGTCACCGTGTTCCTGCTGACAATCATATGTGTCACCATGTTTCTGCAGACAAACATATGTGTCACCATGTTTCTGCAGACAAACATATGTGTCACCGTGTTTCTGCAGACAAACATATGTGTCAGCGTGTTCCTGCTGACAAACATGTGTGTCACCGTGTTTCTGCAGACAAACATATGTGTCAGCGTGTTTCTGCAGACAAACATATGTGTCAGCGTGTTCCTGCTGACAGACAATTGTGTCTGCGTGTTCCTGCTGACAAACATATGTGTCAGCGTGTTCCTGCTGACAATCATATGTGTCAGCGTGTTTCTGCAGACAGACATATGTGTCAGCGTGTTCCTGCTGACAATCATATGTGTCAGCGTGTTTCTGCTGACAGACATATGTGTCAGCGTGTTCCTGCTGACAGACATATGTGTCAGCGTGTTTCTGCTGACAATCATATGTGTCAGCGTGTTCCTGCTGACAAACATGTGTCACCGTGTTTCTGCAGTCAAATCATAGCTGCAAATCTTTAACACTTTATGATTAACTGAAACAATGAATATTTATAAAAGTGATAATTGATTAATACTCAGCATTAACATCTGACAATACCTACTCACACGATCCTACCTATCATGATAAGATTATTTTACATCCTTGAAGATCCGACTTAAAATTGGTCTATGCTTGTAATAAAAGATGATTAACGGAGTTGGGTGGTCAGTCTCGCTGATTTGCTTGATGAATGCCATCGGTCGTGATATAGCTGGATTACTGCTGAATGCGGCGTTAAACAATAAACAAAAAAACAACCCACCACCCCAAAACAAACATTATTTTACATTATAAAACGTGTACATATACATACCCCTTTGCCGTCTTCACGCAGTTATATGCCAGAGAACTGACCCTATTCTTCTTATCACAGAAAAAGCTTCTGGCAGCATTCTTGAAAGAAGTGTTGGTGGCGACATAGACAAACGGGTTGAGCATGCTGGCGAGCTTGGCGAACAACGTCGGCAATGTCGTGGCCCAGATGGGGATGTTGCGGTCGTACACAGACCACAAGCTGACCAAGGCATAGGGGGACCACACAATGAAATACACAAGGACCAGACACAGACACATCTGAAACGGTTAGAGATAGATGTGGTTTAAGTAACTGAGTGAAAGACACGTATGCTTGATGTTGGGGACGTCTCAGACGCTTACCCTTTGGTATAGAAAAAGGTGAATTGTTGATTAAACCAAGAAACATAATCAGGGCGAAATGGGATGCAAACCCTCACTATACGTTGCTGATACGCCTAATTGACGCAACTCTGCACACCGCCTTAGGGGTCACACGTACCCGTAGATGTTGCAACAAAGGTATATTGAGTGGTGGGGTGTGCGCAGTTTTCACAAACATTGCAGCCGTTATTGATTGACGTTATTATTTTGACACGGTTTAGATTTTTAAAGCACTAGTTGTTGATCATGACACAGACATATTCCTGCATGTTCAACCTAAATATGTCCATGGTATCATAATCTGCTTTATGGGAAAGGACAAACAAAAAACAAATTGATAAAAAATGAAGATAATTTAAAATAAAATAGAAAATACCGAAAACACAAAGCTAAAATTAAGAATATTGAAGGAGAGGAATAGAAGAATAGATGTACAGAATAAGATAGGAATATCACAAATACTGATTAAAATAATTTAAATATTAAAAATGATACGAGGTGTTTTTTAAATTGACAATCAGAGGTTAATCGAGAAATCGGTTTGTACAGAACTAAATGTGAAGTGAGTCAATGGCCACAATGGTCAATGAATAATTAACAAATTCTATTTAAACACACAGTTTTAGGTTAACAGTCACTAAGGACAATACAATGGGTCAAATATGTTGCAGCAGCAACAAGTAGCAAGTTCCTAAGTATATGCCAGTGCACTCAGAACATCTAGAATTTGGCCCTGTAAAGTGTCTGGAAAGCGATCTGGGCTCCGTTCTTTATTTCGGAGTTTTGTTGGAAGCTAGCAGGAAAGAGGTTTTTTCAGATAGGTGTCCAATCGGCATGGAAAGGAGGTAAGAAGAAAGTCAGACCGTAAAAAGGCCCCGAATCGCCCTCTTGTCGGCCCAATAGAGTTACAACCAGCCTTCTAGAAACTGTCACATTTGGAAACCTCTCGAACGATCAAGCTGTCCTGTGTTTGTCAACAACTTATCACAATTCCTTTTCCAATCTTGTTGTCTACATCACTTGATACTATACGAGCACCTCAGTCATCTGCTGATGCCGACAATCACCACAAACAAACTCATAACAATCACTGTCTACTGCCACATAATATATTAAATATATAATAAATACTACTCACTCCTGTAACCTTCACTTCGACCTTCATCTTATGGTGTTTCTTGGCTTCATCAACATTGAAGCTACCGGACTTCATCATCCCAAGCTCTTTTGACTTCTTAACGATGCTGGAGTAGCAGAAGGCCATGATGAAGGTGTTGACGACGTAGAAGAGGCCAATGACGCAGTAGATGTACATTATGTCGTATGGGTCTTCACTTATCCAGTCCATGCTGCAGGAGGTTCCGAAAGGCTCGATGGTGTAAGAGTTCCAGCCCATCAGAGGCGGGACGGTCCAGAACAGAGTGTATAACCAGACGATGAGCAGCACTTTATACGTGTGTTCCAATGTCAACAGGTGTTCTGTAAATATCACGAATACAAAGGCATGCGTGACAATATTTCACAAAATAGATGCAATTCAAATATTTCAGAAAAACCGTCTATAGCATCAACGCCTATCCTTAAGATGATATAAAACATCAGAGAGTAATCAGTCTCAAATATCTGCCGAAATCCATTGGGCGCAAAAGGCAAAATAGTTATCACAATTATATGAATGAATCACTGAAAATCAGTGATGACACCAGGTGTTCGTTAAAAGGGTAAGCATGTCCTTGTCTACAGGTAGCCACAAAATGTGCATAAAAAAGTAATTGTCACCTACATCACAATCGATGGTAAAACAATCTCATTAAAATAAGATCTTAGTTCTCGCTGCCGCTAAACAAAGATCTGAGGGCATCCCATTACGGGTCACGTCAGAACGCCTTTCGCGAACTTTGAGCGACCACTGAAACGACTAAGAAGAAGTCGACATTAGCCAATTAGAAAGCAGCTTTCTCGAGCTTCACGGCACTCGTTTCAACCTGGCGACTTCCATTTCAGACTCCGCTTGAAAAATATGTTGACACAGTTCTCGATTAAAATTTTGAAAACTGAACAAACGAACATTCATGAATGGCTAATATATGGTTGAGATTGTATGGCAGTGCTTCCCACGTAGTGTGCAACGCCTCCTCCGTTCAAATGTTTTTTCCTACGGAAGCGAGAGACAGACGATAATTTTGACGGAATCAGTCGTACGGGCCGTAACTGTCGTTCGTAACGTTTTCGAGGTTGCATGATTAGAAAACACATTCCGACTGTCACTTTCCTGATCTGGTGAGCGGCGCTTTGATTGGTCGGATGAAAGGTCGTTCTGACATGACCCGTAATTTGATGTCCCCAGATCCTTGTTTATCGATAGCGAGAACTAAAATCTGATTTTAATGAGATTGTTTTACCATCGATTGTGATGTAGGTGACCATTAATTTTTTAAGCACATTGTGTGACTACCGGTAGATCGGGACAGGTTTTGGTTTAACGCCGTATTGAAAACTATTTCAGTTACACACAGCGTGTCAGTTTGAAGTGAATAGATGCGAGTCTTTGACGTTTACCATGAACATGGGGATTGTGCTTAACTACACAGGCAGAGCGAAGCTGGAATGAATGAATGAATGAATGAATGAATGAATGAATGAATAAGTCATCCCGGTAGAATTCAATCCAGAATCGAGGTGAGGTGAAATGGGGTTACACGTCGAATCCAAGATTGTTGCACTTACATAGAGACGTGCATGGATCGAACCCGGACCTTCCGCTCTCCGGGCGGACGCTCTACCACAAGAGTACAAGCACAACTAAAACGTGGACAAGATGTCAAATAGAAAGCCTTACGTACTCAACTGCGGTTTGCATACTGTGATGTATCTGTAGATACTGATTACAACAAGAGTGTTCATTGTTCCAATGGCACACAAGGACGTGATGAAGCCTTGTAAGATGCAGTAGAACCAGCCGAAAAGATACTGGTTCTTGTAGCTTGACAGCGTGGTGAATGGGTAGCCGCACATGGTGATAACGAGGTCCGATGCCGCCATGCTGATGAGCAACATGTTGTGGGGCTTCCGGCGGAGAGTGCGCTTCCGCACCAACACGCAGAAAACCAGTCCGTTGCCGAGTACCGCCAGCACGCCTGAAAATGTATATTCATATCTGTATCATTGCATGACTGTACTGTTTAAATGATATTCTTGTGTGAAGGTGTCATTTCGCAAAGATATCCCATGGAAATGGGGGGAGGGGTGTAACCTTGTGGTTACAATTTTCTTTGTTTCCCAATATAGATAAATATTTATAAGTAGACCAACTCTTCAAATTATTCATTATTTATCAAACAGGGATAGAAGTTTATATAAATCTTTTATTAATTGTGTAAATTGAATTACCATGTATCAAAATGTTGATGTTATTCTTAAAATTCTGGCAATGTTACGAGGGCTGGCTGAAAAGTTCTAAGCCTAACTGTGAAAGACCCGTACCAAGTCGATGGTTTTCATTTATTTCTCCACATAGTCCCCTTCCAGGTTTACACACTTTTGCCAGCGATGCTGCAAGGCCTGGATGCCTAAAAAAGTCATTCACAGCGGAAATGACGTCATCATTACTAGGAAAGTGGCGACCGGCTAGTTCCTTTTTCATTTTGGGAAACAATAGGAAGTTTGACGGGGCCAAATCGGGTGAATAAGGGGCATGGTCAATGAGTTCGAAGCCACACTCATGGATCGCTGACATGGCAACCACCGATTTGTGAACAGGAGCATTGTCTTGGTGGAACAGGACTCCTTTAGTGAGCATTCCCCGTCGCTTAGCTTTGATAGCTTCACGCAACTGTCTCAGTAGGTCAGCATAATATCTTCCATTGATAGTCTGTCAAGATAGTCAATCAGCAGAATACCCTTGGAATCCCAAAAGACTGAAGCCATCACCTTTCCAGCAGAAGGAACCGACTTGGCTTTTTGGGGGGGCTGGTGATTCCGGATGCTTCCATTGTTTAGACTGAATTTTGGTTTCTGGTTGAAAGTGATGAATCCAGGCCTCATCCATGGTTATATATCGGGCCAAAAATCATCGGGATCTGCTTCAAAACGGCATAAATTGTCACGGGACTTCAGGAATCTGACACGTTTCTGATTGAAGACACTTTTGTCATTCCCAACTCGTTGGTGATAATGATAATAACCCTCTCATGAGAGATGCCCACAACACTGGTAATATGTCGAGTGGTCAATCGTCGATCAGCCATCACCATGTCATGCACCCGGGTAGTGTTTTCCGGAATGGTTGCTGTTGAAGGCCTTCCTGGACACGGGTCATCGTCAAGGCTCTCTCTGCCACGCTTGAATTCCGCAGCCCACTTCTTTACAGTGGAAAAGAAAGTGGAGACCATGTCAGCATGTATCTGTGTTGGAGTTAGCCCTTTCAGTTGCAGGTACTTGATGACTGCCCTATAGCCAGTTTTGTCCATTTCTGGTGATATCAATGAGTAGGTTCACAAGATGGTCTGGTATAAAGACAATAATAGCACTACAGTTGCAGTTCTTATGTCTATGATTCATTAAATGATTGTACTTGTTGGTGGCAAAAGTTTGTTTCAATCCGATTGAGATATCCCACCTAGGCTTAGAACTTTTCAGCCAACCCTCGTAAGTAATTCCTACATGCACTAATTGTGAAATACTCTGGCAATGTTACGAAATGTGAAACTATTTTGTAACTTGGCTGGAAAATTGATGTCAGCGTATTTGTAATATTTGAGATGAAGTTTGGGTAGAGGGTACATACATAATTATAGAATAATACGATTTAGGAACCTTACATGTTTCTGTTTAATTTACATTCCTCAAACGACCAGCAGCTCTGTCAAGTCATTTGAATTATATTGCAGTTGTGAAAAGAGCACCCTTCATTTAAAGGGTAACCATGTGCTCCAAGTATGTTGTCCACTGGATACAGACACGTTGTTTTCACTGATAGTGGTAGTCATTAACTGTTATACTGTTGCGTTATAAACTTGACATATTAATAATAATAATAACTCTTATATTTCGCAAGCTTCCACGCAACAAAGAATGCTCAAAGCGCTGACATCACACATACTTATGTACATTAGAGCTAAGTGGCTGAAAAATGTTTTAAGTCTTGACTTGGAAATATAAAGTGATGGGGGGCTGTTCTGAGAGCAGTTGGAAGACCTTTCCATTTCCCTGTAGCAGTTACTTCGAAAGTTAGGCACAAAAGGATTGAAGTTTCCACCTCGGAATGACAAGCTGCAGTTTGTCACCAGACTGCAAACATATTCGTGTAGGAATGTCGAATCATATTTCCTTTGACTGCCGATTTGCTACAACCTATTCCCAAATTAAGGGCAATTTTGTTTCCGTACCAAAGTCTTTAGCGTTTTAAAATTTGGTTAATGAATAGTTGTTGTTGATTCTTGTTTAACGCCGCACTCAGCAATATTCAAGCAAAATATCGGCGTTTGGTAAATAATCCAGTGATTGACATCATGCGCATCGATCAACGCATTGGGATCGATGACATGAATCAACCAAGTCAGCAAGCCTGACCACCCGATCCCGTTAGTCGCCTCTTACGACAAGCATAGTCGCCTTTTACGGCAAGCATGGGTTGCTGAAGACCTATTCAACCCCGGATCTTCACGGGTCTGGTTTTGTTTATTAATAGTATGTCTTCTACTTACCGAGAACCGTGAGGTAAATGCCTGTAAAGAGATAACCAGCTGGACTGAGCAACTTGACTCGACCACTGTCCACTCCCACCTGCCAGGGATCATTTGAGTTCTCGTCCATTCTGTCCACAAGAACCTGCAGCTGGTGCGCTTTGACCCCCACCGTCTTTGAAGCTTCCGGTACCTTCACAAAGGTGAGGGCTTTTCAACTTTAGAATGTATATCTAGAATTTTTGGAAATATTGCCTGTAGTTTCATAAGTTGGATGCAAGTTCCAGAGCGATGAATGCTGAATTGATAACTGGTAGTAGCGTCGGGGCACCGATAGTACTAATGGGCTTAATTGGGCATGATCCAGACTAAATCGTCTTTGTTTAATGCGGCGTGATTCCTGTCAAATGCATTGTTAGGCTGATGAAGATCAGACATATCAGCTGAAACAGATTCCGTAGGGAAAAACAGGCAAAATAGGGATGCAAATTAAATGAATGAATCAATAAAAATAAATGATGTCACAAAGAGCTCGCAAATAGGATAAACTTGTCTTTGCTCTACCTGTTGCGCCCAATTGTCATGAAATAATAATTGCAACTGAATAAGGAGGTATAGCATCGCATCATGGCACTCATGATGAGCAAGACGTGGATGTCATGTATGACATAAAGGATGCGAATAGTTCGTAAGTCGCGTATACGTATGACGTGTAAATGTAAAACATCAACGCCAGAGAACAATCAGTCGCGATGCTCTGTACAAACAGTACTCACGGGTTGTAAAATACGGCAAAATACTGGTGAAAAACGACATGAACAGATCCTAGAAAATGAGCGATGACAACAGGTGTTCGCCAATAAGGTAAGCATGTCCTGCTCTATCGACGTGTAAGTGTACGCATGGCTTGTAAGACACATTGTGTGGAAGAAAAAATTGTCCCAGAAAATTCTTGATTTTTTTATGATGCTGCAGACTGTTGCAAAAAAATGTTTGCCACAAAAGTAACATTATTACAAGGTGGTTTTCTTAAAACAAATACAGGCTCATAGATGTTATCAGAAAAAAACTGCTTTTGCATTGCATCTGTAGCTGAAAAAAAATCTCCAGACAACCCCCCCCCCCCCCCGCCACCAACCCCATCCCAGTTTTAATCATACTTGACATTTCTCATTATGCCCCCACAGCTATTAAGGTGATAGTTTCATAACGGGTGACCACATAATGCAAATTAATTAACACCAATGGTCAGTGATCCGGCTTAATGACCATCACCATGTTAGTTCAGTAGAATCAAAATCAATAATCACAGTATAATTAATCTAGTCAACTTCAATACATGTCTGTATTGAAAATGTATCCTCACATTAACAGATAGTCAGTGCTGTCTCTCACATGTACGTGTTACGTATAAACTAATGCACGGGTAGGTGAGCGCCTTTAGCTTAGCCTAATGACCAGATAGCACTGCAGGGACAATACCGTGTCACAAGGATTACCAGAAGGTCACAGAAATACAAAGATTGTGAACAATCCTTTATGTTAATAATGATCATGTCAGTGGCTTTTTATAAACGGCGCATGTACCTTCAACTGTAATGATGAGGTTGGGGAAAGGGTGGTGTGGGTGTGTCGGGATGGGTGTGTGGGTGTGAGTGGGGTGGGGTGGGTGGGGATGTGGGCTGTATGGGTGGGGTGGGGTTGTGGGGTTCTGCTCGTGTTGACACTACTAATTCAAATCCATTAATGATGTGTTTGAAAGGCATTTGGAAGTGATACACATAAGGAAGAGAATTTATGGATGTCAACTTCTCTATTATGAGAAACACAAGGTTTCGGAGTATATGCTTACTCCTTCATCAGCTGAATGAATGCCATGAGGCAGAGAGCATATATATGTACATGTAAGGTCTACAAACTTGATAAGATAACTAAAGGTAGAAACAACCAAGTGGTGGAAACTAACAAGGGAAACCAACAGATTATTGACGCTGATAGATGATAAGCACTAGACAATGGAAGCCAACACTTTACAGTTATTAGCGCTGATAGTATGGAAGCCAGCACTTAAGTTATCATAGATAAGTAATAGGCAATGGACAACGGGCAAACGGGAGGCCGGGGGTCACAAGCACTGATAGGTGCTTCACTATAAATGTCCTGACTATAAGGATTTCATTTTAAAAGAAAAAAGGGTACCGCCTCAAACGTATGATGAATTAATAATCAATACAAGTATCCGACTACACATTGAAAGCCGTACTCAAACTCTTCCAACTGAGTCAAACAATCTTGACAGATCGTGTACTTTATTTGCATGCTGACAATGAAAACCACATACAAAATTTCCTACAATCCTTAAATCCCGTTCTTTTAAAAATGTACAAAACCGAAAATTATATTTTCGGCGGTATCATAGAGTTAGTAGTTATCGAGAGTGCTTTGAGTCATAGAGCACGGGAAATTAGCAACAACGTAAAAGTTTTTAGTATTTATTATTATTAAAATCCATTTGGAACAGATATTATTTTTAGAAATAAACCATAACCAATAAATTTGAAGAGAAAAGAGGCTGAGTGTGGATAGTTCTGCTTGAATACTCAATAACGATAGACAGTATTTTCCTGAAAATGAATATTTGGAGTAAGCAGCCACAGGGTGACCTAAGAGCTATACTGGTGAAAGCACCAACACGTGCGTAGACTTCAATGGAGATGGTGTTGAGTGTAATGCAGCGGCTAAACCGCTCTTGATGTGATGTGATGACAGGAAATCAGAAATGAAAGCTGCATGCCTTTGTAAAACAGGACGCTAGAAGCAGTGCCACGCCCGAGTATCCGCATGTTCTTGCTTCAGTAGGTGTATCTCCATCTTCGCGAGGCAAGGGAGTTAACCTACTACAAAAGTCCAGTTTCCACCCTTGGCGAACTAGCTATAGGCTGGAAATTCTTAGTTCGATCGTAGCGCCATCAGTGGCTGTTACTAGTTATATCCCTTCTATGTCCCTCCGATCGATCAATCAGATTCCACCTCTTATATCATTTGCATTAACTTCAAACAAAATGGCTGCGCCCAGTGAAGACGATCTGATAAGCAGGATCAATATTGTCATAAAACGGGTCTTACTTCGCGAAGTGCATCAGATCACTTGAGCACCTAATAGAAAACATGATCAGATTTTGAAAATATCTGTTGACGACGAGTTGGAGGTGCACATGTTTTGCAAATCCTGCAATCGACCGAAATCTGCACGATATATTTACGAACCGGATGTTGATTTCGTTTCGCGATTTTGATTGGACAATGCATAGACTCGTTAGTCCAGCCAAAATATAACTCCATAATTCGAGCCTAGTTCGGCAATGCGGAAAACTGCACTTGAATAGTCAGTTAACTCCCTTGCCCCGGGAAGATTGCCAATCTCTTATCTCTGGGCATGTGTTACGAATCTAATTCCAGCATGAGAATCAGACTTTCTGTTTCATTTTTATCAGCATTGTACTTTGTAACAAATGTTATATTTGGGATAACACTTTCTTATTAAAGTACAAATGTTTGTGTTGAGTCCTATCCGGAATTCGAACCCAGACTCTCAGAGCGTGGCATCTAATCGCCAGCTAACAAAGTCAGCGATCTAACCTACTCAGCCACCGAGGCCTCAACAGCCATGTACTTGTTTCTTATATTTGTTTTTTTCCGCATAATTTAAAAATTATTCAACATCTCATTTTAGGATTCAGCAGGCTGGTGAATGGACACAATGACACAATATATCTTGCACGAGTCTTCAACTCACCTTACGAAAACAAAGTAGATTTTGCATTTTGAAAATGAAAAATGGCCGCAGGAGTTTATATTAGTCCATGATGCCACCTTCGTGACATCAGTAACCATCAGAAGTACTGTTTTCAAATGTTCAGCGGGGGAACGGGTGGCTCAGTCGTCTAAGGCACCACAATTGGCTGGGCAAGAGTTGCGTCCCTTGGACACGCCAGAATACTATGCTTATGGGTTCGAATCTTCGTTCGACCCGAATATGTTTCTATGTTTGTCAGCACCATACCCGTGCTCCTGGGTTTCACCAAAGTGGTAATCGTTTCAGATCTGCATCATTTCATGCTTTCCTCCCACATTAAGCTGACACGCCGCGATATTACTGGAATAATGTTAAAAACGGCGTTAAATCCAAATCACTCACTTAAATGTTTAGAGGAGTCTTCTTTGCAATTGAATTCGTGTCAAAAACAACTCGCATGGTACATGTTTTTGTCAGATATGTGATGTTTGTAATCAGCTGAATCTCAAAAATTGTCCACAATATAAATAGAAGTTAAACATACAGTGTTTTCAATGTAGAACTAGGTTAAATGTAGATATAAAAGCGCTAGATTGAAATTGGAACTGAACATGCATATAAAATAATGTTATTTTACTTCGAGCAAAACATTCGCTGTCGCTTTGTATTCTGCAACATCTGTGATAAATATGTTTCCTCTCATTTCAAGGACACTTAATTATGTTCACTTGCGATCGTCTCTTCAACTCAGATCAGTCTTACTGGTTTGGTTGTGTAATATTATTTGACTGCCGTGTGATAATGGTTTCCGCCACCGAGAAGTTGCTTCAGAAATGTGAACCTTCAGTGTTCACTACCAATATGTGTTTTTAGACAGCTCATGGGTATTGCGCTTCACATACAGTGTGTGAAACAGTGGTATTGGCAATGGTATGGTGTGAGAAGAGGGACACAATATCTAATTATATGGATACAACTTACTCACTTTTAAAACTTATCATTGTGTGTCATTATAATTGTGAGGGGCGGTCGGGTAGCCTGGTGGTTAAAGCGTTCTCTCACCACGCCGAAGACCCGGGTTCGATTCCCGACATGGGTACAATGTGTGAAGCCCATTTCTGGTGACCCCCGCCGTAATATTGCTGGAATATTCTAAAAGCGGCGTAAAACCAAACTCACTCACTCATTATAATTGTGGTGGCGTTTAATTAATTCCAAGGTGTGTATGTACATGCATATAGCGACGTGCATGCTCATGTGTGCGTGCGTGCGTGCGTGCGTGCGTGCGTGCGTGCGTGCGTGTGTCATGCTGCAGTTTAACATGAATATCCCACTGAGGCACATATACTCGGAGTCTTGCCTTGTTTTATCCCCTAAATGCCGAGTGCCAGGCAGGGGAACAACAAGCATACTATTTGAACGTCT